TGAAATTACTGGAATAATTGAAGCAAATTTGAAGTTGACATTCAACATGATATACAAGACATGACATATGTCAGAGAAATTGTCAAAAATCATTATTAATGTTAGGAACAATTCATGAATGTAAACAATATGGAAATTGGGATTAGATAACCAGATTCCCAAGAAGAAACTATTGTAATGGTCTATTGAGAACCTGACTATCAACTCACTCAGTAATCTGGGTAATTAAAACAATAAGTCAACAAGTGGATACACCAGGGAAAACCCAGTCGAGCCTGATTAGTAAGTAAGTAAGTGATAATTTTATTTCCTCAAAAGCAAAAGTGTAAGGAAAGGGAAGTCAGTACAATTTTGATGAATTTGTTGGAATTTGGAATTATTTACATTATGTGTAAACTTGGTAGAATTCATTCAGATTATAAAAAACATGTTGGAGGAGGAGAGATTTCAATTTATGCTTAATTTTTTTGATATTATCACAGTGTGTGATTGAGTTAGGAAGGCATCTGAATATTTTAGTGCCTATATAGAAAACATTATTCCGGTTTATATTCATGTTGAAATTTGGTAAAATGTATGAATTCTTATTTCTTGTATCGTAGCAGTGGATGTCAGAATGAGTAACCAAAATATTTTTATTTTTGGAAATCATCAAGCTAACTTTATATATATATAGATTGGTAACCGTCATTATTGCCAGATTTTGGAAGTACTGTCTGCACGAGTCATATTTTTTCAGACCACATAAGAATCGAATAGCTCTTTTTTGCAGCATAAGTGTACTCTCTGCTGCGGAAGAATTGCCCCAGAATTCCAATCCATACTGAAGAATACTATTGAAATAGCTGAAATAAACGATTTTTGCTGATGAAAACCCAATGTTTCGTCTAATGGTTAGAATTGCAAAAATTGCTTTCGAAAGTCTTTCATCAAGTTCATATATATGGTGATTCCACTTTAAATTACAGTCTATGTCTATCCCCAGAAACTTGATATGGTCTACACTACTTATCGTTCCGTTGTCTGTCTCAATATTGAATTTTGTTGATGATTGAGATGGCTGAAATAACATAATATGTATCTTATTTTGATTATGTAATAATTTATTAGACGAAAACCAGTCGATAAGATCATTCAGAACCCTGTTAGAATATCAGCGTTATCTTGTGGGGATAGAGTGGAGTTATCGTTTATCATGTTTGTGTCATCTGCAAATAAGGAAAAGTTCAGCTGAGGAAAATTGCAAACTAGATCATTTATGTAAACCAGAAATAGTACCGGTCCCAGCATTGATCCCTGAGGTACTCCGCATTCTACATCTACCGTTTCTGTTTTGATTTTTTTAGTTCCGTTTTCACTAAAGTCTTGTAGTTCAATGAACATTTTCCTGTTTTCAAGATATGACTGAAACCAATTATAAGGTATGCCTCTAAATCCATAATAATCCAGTTTACAAAGAAGAATTTGGAACTTGACGCAGTCAAAGGCTTTACTGAGATCGCAAAATAGTCCTATTGGAGTTCATTCAAGTCAATCCAGATGTATTCAAACGTTGAAGAAATTTATATCTCTGACAAACTATTCAACATAATAAAGATTTTGTGAATTCGGTAAATTTTTTATTAGAAATCTGTATGACTACTCGAGTCTCCACCCACGAAGGAAGTGAAAGTCTGATGAGAGTCAGCTCCGAAACCGGAAAATCGAGGAACCATACTCAAACTCTGAAATAAGAAAGGAAAATAAAAGGAAAGAAACAGAAACAGAAAATGAAGGAAGGAGGGGAGAGACCAGTGGTGTTCTCAGTGCCATTGGAAAAACTGCTTGGAAAGTGTGGTTCCTCTATTTTCCGAGGGCTCGAGTGTCTCATATCAAGTTTAATTCAACACGACAGTGTGCCGCAGCCATACTAGCTTTATGAGAAAATGTAATCTGCATATCACCCCATTTTGGGTAACAAATTTCAATTTGTTTCTAACGTAATTAGCCATAATGTTGATATTACTCAACTGGACCAAAGATATTTTTATGGATGATTTTCTTGTCAACCTGAGTAAGTAACATCACTTTTAATAATTTCTGAATTGATATTCAACATTTTCCAATTTTCTATTCTGTGATTATGTCTTTCTCAATAGCTAAGACTTGATTAACTTCCACTAATTTTCAAATGAGAATTTAACTGCCTTCAAAGAATAAATTTCAAATTTTTTTTTCCAATTATCCCTGAGGTCTTTTGTCTTGTAACCGAATGACCGATAAGAGCAATACGAGAATTTTGTTGCTGTTGAATAAAGAATATACAGGCTGATTTTAAAATGAGTGCATATATTCAAGACATATATATGAGAGAGTCTAACAAAAATTACTGAAATATTTGATTTATCCTAAGTCTTCACATTAACGAGAAATTTCATTTTGAAAATTGAACATAAAATGCTTCGAAATTCGAGTACGCCACTGGGAAGCAAGTGAAATCTGCGGAATCCTAGGGAATCCACAATTCGTCATTCACTAAAGTCAAAACAAGACAGTGATGCCAGATTGTTTCAGAGACGAATATCCTGATAAAAATTTGTCACAGAATGAAAATGAATTGAAATAGGTTATGGAAACTAATAGAGGTGAATGTAATATGTTCAGGAGCCTTATTTTTCAAAAGTTTACTGAGAGAACTGTGGGGTGATTATCTCCATGGATCACGAGAGACGGAGAGAAACATGAGGGGAATGATAGAACGTCCCCCTTCCTTCAATTCGAAAATAAGGCCCCAGCGGGTAGATACAAAATTAGCAGACAATAAATAGGTACACAACATACACAAAGTTGAAAATCGACCCACCTAGTAGATTTTCTCATACCTGCTCGAACAGCAATAAAACTCCCGAGAGCAAACAAATACTAATATCGAGTCCAGTCCAGACTAATATCGTCCTGTGTTCTTGTTGGTTCATATTCGCACTTAAACCATCGAAAACGACTCAACGACGACATATCCTTCCTGGCAATCTCACATTGAAAATCATGACCACGACCATATCACGATTATCACGACACAAGACACAACATCCAATTATTTTATTTTTTATTTTACGTTCACAATTATTTTACAAACCAGCAACCACACAAACGTCACAAACAAAACTAGTATCATATGATCTGTCATCATTTCTCAGAACAGTAGTATCTGTGACCATAGATTTCCTCTTTGCCGTGACCTTTGACAGTACTAACTAGGATTGTTCGCGTTCAGAAAATAAACAATCCGAAACCGTCAGAAGCATGCACAAGTCCACAGAATCCAAAAAAATCATACAGTTCTGTGAAACTGCGCATGCTTCTGACCGTTTCGGACGCAAGAATTCAGATGATCATGAATTACTAATAGGCGATTTCTACGGACCAATCAGAAACAGCAAAGTAGCGCCTGCGTGGTTGCGATTCATCCTGATTGGACACAGCTGATTGGATTTGTGAGATTAGTGTATAGTGAGGAAGTATCATTTCATTGAATTGAACTAATAGATATTTTTTCTCTGAGAATGTATGTTATTTTGGAAAACGTCAAAACGTGATACTAGTAAATGTAAACAGTGTGGTCCTTGTCATTACTTTTGTAATAGATCTATTACTATTCCACGGAGATTGTAACAATATTACGATTTGTCATGAATCTATTACTATTGGGTGTTAGCACCAAAATATGATGTTTTGTTACTGTTAGCACCAAAATATGATGTTTTGTTACTAAAAAATCTATTTCTGTGTTCAGCGGATAATTATGTTCTGCTCTATGGGTCTATGTTCTATATTTATGTCATAAAAGTTCTGTGTGACCTGCCTCATTCCTTCCAAACCTGTCTAATTTGTGCGATATGGTTTTACAAGAATGACATTCAGAATGTCAAATGTCAGATTTTTAGGATCTATTACCTTTTGATACAAATCTGTTACCATTTTCCAAGGAAATCTATTACGAAAAAATCAGACCCAGGAACAACACTGAATGTAAAGTTTTGTTTCTGACAATTTGCTTGGAATGTGACGATGCATTTCTCAAACATTGAGCTGAATGATATGGTTCTTATGTCGGGTCGTTATTGTGCGGGGCCCATGAGACTCCTCGAAGACCACGAAATTGTAGCGATGCAAGGAGGTGGAAGGAAGGGTCTAAAGGATTTTTCAGTTAAATTACTTCCAACCGTGAGGTGTTAAGTTATACGCTATTCGAGCTTATGTGTATAAATCTTGGGTGAGTCCATTTTGAAGTTTTTGTATTATCATTCTAAAATTCAAGACCAGGGTTAACTTCTTCCCCATGTACATTTTCTTGATTATACATTTTATTTAATATCTCCTAATTTTCATGTAGAGTGGCAACGTCGCTTCGTTCATCACGGTCGAATGCGGATCGCAAACGATAGTTGTGACAGAAGTAGAAATCTGGGCGGAAAAAGGGTACTTTGCCCCAAATCTATTTTGATCCTAATAATATTTTTAATAGTGCTATTCGGTAGTATACCTCAAGCTTTCTAAGTGTTTAAAATATATGCACATATTTTAAAATCAGCCTGTATAAATGGCAACTTTCATCATTCAGTAATGTACCTTGAACCATTCAGACATCGATCGCGGGATTCTTGGGATTATAGGTAAATAAGATTCCGAAAACGCGGGAAGGAAATATTGGTTCAGGACGATTCAGGATTGCAAACTCTACCTCGTAATTACGTAATTATTTAGGTAGGATTCTGAAATTCGCAGGAGAAAGAAAGAGTCCAAATATACCATCAATGACCAACTAAAAATATCATCAGTTATAAGTGCTGGCGAGCAGTGTGGATCACTGAGGATTTTTTTTTTATCGATTGGAGCGCACGAAAGGGAATCCCTATAATCTCATTATAATATAGTGGTCTTGCTGGGAACTTTTTTATTGTTCATTATCACTCTATGTTGTTCATTGTGATGAAGTTTAGTGAGAATCATTATGATCTTACTTTTTAAGGCCCAATTATCATCTCCAGGAGCGTGATACAAGTTTTCCAGATACAAATCCAAAGCATTAGAACATTCACTACTGACTGACACTGAAAGATGACTTTTGAGTGTGCTAACAATATCACCCAGCACTACATGTTGAAGAAGAAGCAAACACAAAGCAGTGAAGCATTTCATTTTGGGCATTTACAATAGAACTGATAGTTTTATGAAATAGTTCATGTTTATATTCGTTAAGAAGTCTTTGAACTTTTTGAATCAACTTCAGTCTATCATAGTTATCAGTGATTTTTAAATGACAATCTAGTACATCTAGAGATAACGGTATTTGTTTCATTTTATTTAGAACACCACCAAGAATTCACACGTTCTAGTACTTGATTGGAGTGTTTATATAATATCCAAAATTCCACTTATGGATCGAATCTATATTACTCACTCTCACTACCTCAGCATGTGATAATTCTCATATTTGGATACCCACTATAAAAGTAGGTCACGAAAGACAAGATATGAGAACCGAATATCACGAAAAGGTGCATTATTTATACGGGTGCGCAATTGCACTATAACCCAAGTTGTGTACTATACTCTCTTTACGAGTACACTTATTTTCCCTTTGGTTCGATATTTCATAAGTCATCTCAGGTCGTTTTGTAATCAGGCCAAGAGGTGGAAATAACGTCACTGCAAGCATATACTGAGATAAACCTAACTTGAATCAGAAAATGCTATATTTGAATCTGATATTTGTTGTTCTTCATTTAAATAAAAACTTGATAGAATTTCACATTTGATCGTGTTCATTTGAAGTGGGTTATAACCACTTCGGCATTTTTTGGTGAGCGATAAGTATTATAATTTTAGGCCTAGAGTAGTCCCAAACTCTCCAATTTATTCAAATGCAAATTAACAGTCGATACCTCTGAATCAAGAAGGGGCAACGAAATATTGATATTGCGTCATAGAAATGAATAGCACTATGTGGAACTTGATGTTTTGAAAACCATCAGAAGTGGATAGGTAAGTTGATAGAAACCTACTGAGTATGAGTATTTGTAGATTATTGTTTTATCAGCACTAAAACTCTCAGAACAACTCATCTGATAGTGATATCACGAGAGAAAAAGACAGTGAGAAATTGGAAATAATTCCGACAGGTCTTCCAAAACTTGTTGCCTCAAGTTTGAGATTTGAAGAATTATTTTCTTAGGCGAGCTTCCGTCAGTAGATTATTTCTTTGATTTGTTTTTCAATATCTTTATGCAGATTCATCACAGGTAAGTAAGTTGAATGAATTGAATTTCATATTTTTCTAAATTCCTATATTTCTGTTCTCAAAACCTTCTTCGAAACAATATGTTACTGACAATCGGATGAATTTTCATATAAGGCTATCTGATAAGAAAATTTACAAACGCTGTGACATTTTGGGGCAAATCTGATCTTTCCCGTGGAAAAAAAAGCGAGTACTTTTTTCCCGGATATATATATCACATATGATGGCTTTTGTTGTGCTATAGTTCCGAAAAATGAGTCAATAATACCGTCACCGAGAAAGACCTGCGAGTCCTTTTATCTTCCATTCGACTTCGTGGTTACGTATATTACTGAACAACCACTAAAGCGCAATTTTTTGAAATCAAATCACAGAATTAGACTGACAGAAGGGACATCATATATTTGATTACTTCAAAAGAATGCTAGAGATGCCTACAACGCAGGTGTCCCTACTTGATCATGATCAAATGATATGAATATCCTGTTACTCGCATTTTTGTATCAACTACTGTCAATAAAGAAAATCACCAATTTCTCGAATTTTATGTTGAAAACAGAAGCAGATTGATTCCCTGAAAATTCAAAGATAGGTGAAGTTTTATATTTTTCTATACAGTGTGTTTAAAAAAAAGGCCACTCTCCTAAGATACATACCACGAATTGAAGAGAAATTGAAATGGAAGAGACCATTTCAATTTCTTCTCATATATAAAATCATGATTGGTTTCTATTGTAGATACACTTTGCTATTTTGACTGAAGATGGCCTTTTGAATGGCCGAAACATGTATCAACTTTCAACCTTATTGAAGCAGGATTGACTGGCTTATTATACATTGAAAATTGTGGAGACGAGCATGACAATAAACGTGAAACAAAGGTTAGTAAGCAATGGACTGGACACATCTACAACCAATATCACTTATACCCCTAATAACACAATAATGTCCCATGGATATCCTTAGGACGTTTGTCGGGACATTCAGGACGTCCATAGGACGTTCGAATTTGGTACCGTGGACGTCCATTGGACGTCTGTGGGACGCACAAATGTCCCACTTGAGGACCACTCCCTCAAGGACGTCCCTGGGACAACTATCGAGGACAACCTTTCAGCAACGCTGAGGGATATCAATTGGATGTCCATAGGATGTCCCAGGGACGTACGAATTATTCCTGAATTCGAATTTTTTTGAGCCCCTCTAGGACCAGATCTTGCATAACTGATGAGGACATCCAGTTGAGTTGATGGTCCGTAGATGGTCCCCAATAGATCCTGAAAAAGTTTCCCAATGATGTCCAATGGACTTACGTGAAGGACATTGATGGGGAGTATTTAAAGCCTGCGAGCAATTATTCGTCGGCGAATTGTAAGTTAACGTCCTCGCAGGGACAACATATTAAAAAAAACGACTGGAACGTCCATAGGACGTTATTTCTAGGACATTGGATAAGTACAGTTCATGTACCAATTGGGACATCCGAAGGATGTCCCTAAGGGACATTTCGATTTTTATACGATCCTGGAAATATTAAGGGCGTCTGTGCAGAGATATTTGAAGAAATGTGTACTATCAGGGACATTTCATGGTTGTCTAGAAGGCGCATTATATAAAATATGATGTCAAGTCAGAATATGTACTACTCGGGACATCCGATGGATGTCCCTAAAGGAACGTTTAAAATCATATCCCATCAGGGACATACCAAGGACGTCCTTACATGGACATTTCACAATATGTACCACGTGGGACGTCTAAGGGATGCTATTTCTAGGACATTTGAAATGATGTACCAGCTGGGACATTCCGTGGACGTCCTTACTCGGACATTGCATGAGATGTACGGGATGGGATGTCCCAAGGACACTTATTTTTGGTCCGGGACATTCGGACTTGAATTGTACCAATTTGGGACGTCCCTAGAACGTTGTGTGCTATTAGGGACTTGTCTCGCTGGTTGCATGCATCAGTTGCATCTATTATGTTGTCAATTCCCATTCCTTTCGAATTATCTTGTGGGTTAGCAGGAATAGCAGGTATGTTAATGTAATTTTAGGAGTTCGTAGAAAAAGCATAGTATGTAACGCGTTAATAAACTCTTCTAGACACTCGTTTATTAAACACTCGCTCCGCTCTGCTCCGCTCGTGCTTAAAATACTCGTTACTAAAAGGACGTTTATTACACTCGTTACATAATATACTATTATACAACTTTCCAAACAGATTCCACTCATAATGACAATGGTGCAATATCTCTTCAAATATACAGGGTATAGAAAAAAAAAATATTTTTCTCAACTGGAATGCGCCGTATTTTTGATAGATTTGGATTTCTCAATTCATCCTCGTTTCAAATATATGATATAAGGGATTCATATCTTGCAAACTATACAGCGCATTCCATTGAAAAAGTATATATATTTTCTGAATTCCCTATATTTGAAGAGATATTGCAACACTGTCACTATGATAGGAACCTATATGAAAAATAATTGTATAAAATCTTCATCAATATTTTTTTGATGGGTGGAAAACAAACATTAATAAAACTAGCCCTGTACAATTTTGTCTTGCAATTCTTGACGGGAATTTACCTCTGTAGCATAATAAAAATGATGCAACCAAACTGAGCCGCCCATGTTTCCAGTCAAATTTATCTCAATGTTATCCTTATTGTGATTCATTGTTTATTCAATGAGTGCAGCATTAGGAATATATTTTTGTTTTCGGTTTCCATAATAAGGTAGCAGTGTTTCATACTATACTAACTCACTCTAATCAATAGCTTTGCATTAATTATCACTTCATTATTTTCGAATCGAAATATTCCGGTATACACAGTATCAAGGTTTGCCAAGAGTACCTTTTCGGAGGAATATTGAATGATGTCTAATGTTTAAAATTACTCGGTACGAACCGTGTAAAAAGCGCCCTCTATGAGAGTAAGATATTTTAAAAACTCATGCGATACGGCAGCTTCCAAACACGTCATTACAAAATTTCATTACATTACGAAACTACTGGCAACCAGTAGTTTCGTGAAAAATGTGTAAAAAAATATTTGTTGCAACACCGTGTTGTTGAAATTAAAAAAAAAATGGCTGCTCCAAGATGGCGGACAAGATTTGGTCCGATTCCATTCAAAATTGGTAAGTGTGGGTTTTTGAGGTCGGAGATCATGATTTTTTTGTTGAAATTCATAATTTCAAGATGGCGGCTTCCAAATAATTTTTTGTTTTCGTATAAATGACGATAACTCCGTTGTTATTAACACAAAACTATTACTGCGACATATCATCTGTAAAAGAAAAAAAAGCAATTTGTAACTAAGTCATAGTGAGCTATGACCTACATTCGAAAAACTAAATATGGTGCTGATATCTCAAATTGAAGAAGAGTTGGTATTAATTCCATATTTATTTCGAAATCACTTTGAAAAAAATGAAGAAGTTACGGAGTAGACATGAAAATGATCAAAATCTGTTATTTGCGTATAAAACAAAAACGAATAGATTTTATCAAAATATTTTTTCACATTATAGTTTGCCTTGACAAACTTGACAAACTCCACACTGTATACAGCTGGAGTTTTATGTGCAGAAGCAATAAGGGCTTTAGCAAATTGGGAATATCGTCATTTCAATATTATAGATATCGAAATAGGTATCAAGAATTTCAAGGTTTCTTTCACACAGATTAATATACTCGTATGGACATGCATCTTTGCAACCGTCAGCTCCAGCTATAATACCACACATCATGAAGCGATAAATGGGTATTTGACATGATCTCTCCAGAACAAGAGTTTAAATCAATCACTTCATTATCAATTAATGAATGAATTGAAGTTACCAGATATATTCATACTTCGTTCCTCCGAACTCTCTTTGACAATGTTACTATTGTAATACCTGTTTGTCTAATATAAAATGGAATAGTTCACGATGAGGCTTATCAGTTCGCCGTCATCAACATTATATAATTGTAGAACAATTGAATAAGATCAGGAATCAATTCCTAATGAAACAAACAATAAACCCTGTGATAAACCCAACCTTTTTTTCTAGTGGAAAAACGTTCTATGAACAGTCAGTACTGGAAAAATCCAATGTTTTATCTTTTATCGTGTAACGGAAACACTTGCGTTACGTTGCAATATTGAATCTATAATGGAGCAACAGATAAAAGAGCCCCTGACTACTTTTGTGATAGTATCGAAACAATCGAAATTGAACAAATATTTGACGCCAATAATAGAGAGTTACCGATAATCCGAGAGCATGTCAATAGCCATATAATAGTCAAGAGGATCTGGGCCCGATGAGAACACTGATGAGGAACGCCTGCTTGATAAAGCAAGGAAATTGTCTGATAGATATTTGAACAAATTTTGATCTGTCAAATTCTCATTTCAGTAGTTCTGTGTTTTCCGATAGAAAAAGTACCTGGTGTATAGTTTTTTCAGTCTGAATTTTGAAATGAAATTCATTCAAAGTTGGACGAATAATACAAATGTCAGGGAGTGTCTCAGTGGCTTATATACATACAAATTTCCCGCCAATTTTTGCCGCCTCCACTCAAGCCCCCCAAGCCCCATCATATTAATTACATTAATTTTGTCATGAATATTTGCAACTTTATGATTTGTGCACTATTTTCTCCATCACATCAGTTTTTTCTCGTTATTATCTAGCATGATTTTGATGTTGCGTCAGTTTCTAGATCATTTTCAAATCTCCTGATGTAGTAAAGCTGAAAATTACACAAGAGAAATAGTTTCGGGATATATTTCTGAACTAAACAGAGTAAGAACTACTTAATATGATTTTGACGTTGCGTCTGTTTCTAGATCATTTTCACAACCCACGATTTAGTGAAGCTGAAGATCACACGAGAAATAGTTTTAGGATATATTTCGGAGCTTAACAGAGTAAGAACTACTCAATACGAATAGGAGACTTCGCTCCAAGTTTCTGACCAAAAAACCTCTACCACTGTAGAAGCAATATTATGGAAGTTAGATTACTCAAATATCTTCATTTTGGTGGAATATGATTGTAGGAATCTACTCAGATTTCTAATGATAGTTATTCAGAAGAAAAATTAGTTTTGGTGAGCTCCATATCTGACTGGATGTAGTCATGAGTGAAAAATGGTATATCACGTTCGAACTTCCAATAATGATCAAGAAATTTTCATGAGAAACGTGCGAACCTATATAATAAACTGGAGGTAACGGTTATGTGGTCTATCAATCAAGCCATACTATCATCATGCCCATAAGTATCTGGGCCAGTGTAAAGCGTATGGAAAGCTAAGGTGCGAGATTTTTTGCGCTTATACGCTTCAACAGGAAGATCTAATTAACCTAGGGTGGAAGGACACACTATATCCTTCATCAGAACGTCACGAAGGTTCGAAAAGAAGAATTATAGTCCAGTCATTATAGACTTTGACCCGTTAATAATTTTTTAGTGTTTTTTTTCCATAGGTGTCTCGGGGGGTCACTGGGAGTGTAAATTCAAAATGGCGACCAAATCAAGCTTTTGCGAAAACTGTTTTTTTTTTTGTTAATAATCGGTTTTTCTTGAATAACTCGGTCATTTTTGATTCTACAGAAAAAGTTTGGGAACGAAAATTGTAGTCAATTTGGTTCTCTACAAGTTTGGTCCCCACAATTTTTCTGATAGAATCGATATTTTGTGAATTAATCCTGAAAAAAGCGACAAATTCGAAATATTTTCATTATCTCGTTCATTTTCAACTTCATGGCATAAATGAAGGGGACTCAACTTGTGGAGAATCGAATTCTAAACAATTTTTGTTATTACGTTTCTGTTCCAAAAATCGATATTTTGGGAATTAAACCTGAAAAAGCGACAAATTCAAAAGATTATCATTATCTCCAATGCTTCTCATTTCACGACATAAATGAAGAGGTTATTCCGCGCAGGTAGCTTGTCTGTCAAACAGGTGTAGACCAAAATTTTCAGAAATTTCATTGTATACAACTTTCGCCCTATTCGTTGCACCTGCAGAATTAAAAAAGAGGAGATATTGCGAATATTTCTGAATGGGTACATATTTTCTGGTTTAATTCCGAAAATATCGATTTTCGGAAAAACAGGTAGAGACAAAATTTGTCCAAAATTTGATTCTCTACAAGTTTGTTTTTGTTCATTTATGCCGTAAAGTTGAAAATACCGTTTTTTAACAAAATAAAAAAACAGTTTTCGAACATACGCAAAAGGTTGACTTGGTCGCCATTTCGAATTTACACTCCCAGTGACCCCCCCGAGACACCTATGAAAAAAAAACTCTAAAAAATTATTCACGGGTAAGTAAAAAGTAGATATCTGTGCAGCAGGGATCATCATAAGGCCTACTTGCTAGGCGAACACCTCCCCTTTCACTACTACTACATCATTATGGCCTAACAGTTTCAACTGAGGAATAAAAAACGAGTAGAATCATGAACCATTTAATGCATAAAATCGAACAAAGTGCACTAGTGTGAATACTGAAAAAGCAATGCAGATGGTGTGCGCAGCGGAATAAGTTCTCTGAAGCCATTGTTCTTATGAATAACCCAATAATCGCGCCCATTAATATTCTTCTTCTGGCTATCTGAGTCACTGAAGAAGAAAGGTGGTCTGAATAACGCCTGGTAAGATGGAGGTGGAGTGACAGTAGGAAACTCTGAACTCTGTGTTTTCTTCATCAAATTGTCGTTTTTCTCCATCCAAGATTGCACTGCCACATTTTGTTTCTTAGCTCTTCTGGCCTTTTTGTATCGCTGGGATGCGGATCTCCACAATATCTCGATGAAGAAGACACAAATTGCGAATGCAAGGCCTCCCGCGACTATGAAATATGTCAGAGACAGGTCGGAGTTGCGGAGTTTTCGTTCTGTACTTCCGAGGTCCAAAGGGCAGATTTCTGCATCCGGTAGATTCTCCCTGAGCTTGAATTGAATGATACCAGATTCCACTAAATGTTGTATACTGAAAAGAAAAATAGCATCATCAGTGTAAAATATTTTTTTTTTCTACCCAATCTTTTGAAATTACTTATGAAACCGAATCCCAACCCCAAGAAGAAGCTGCAAATAAACAATATAACAGGATTCAAGAAAATCCCTCAACGAACATTAATAATATCATTTGGTTTTTCAATATGAATATATTTGTTGTTGTTATTGGTATCATTGTATTCATTATTGTTAGTACTTATTCTATTATTCATGAATATTTCGATATGAGTTATTATTCCATCTATAAACATCGTGATTCATTATTTATCTGTTAATTGATAATATGTTTGGATATTATTCTCAGCTCATCTCAAACTGTTTAAAAAATTATAACAAATCAGATAAATCATACACCTCACGCACAGGGTATTGCCTTGGTGAGCTATCACGGTTTATTGAATCTGATTGATTTGAGAAAGTGTATTTTTTTAAATACAGGCTGATTTTAAAATAAGTGCCTATATTTTAAACACTAAGAAAGCTTGAGGTATACTACCGAATAGCACTATTAAAAATATTATTAGGATCAAAATAGATTTGGGGCAAAATACCCTTTTTCCGCCCAGATTTCTACTTCTGTCACAACTATCGTTTGTTTGCGATCCGCAGTCGACCGTGATGAACGAAGCGACGTTGCCACTCTACATGACAATTAGGAGATATTAAATAAAATGTATGATCGAGAAAATGTACATGGGTAAGAAGTTAACCCTGGTCTTGAATTTCAGGAAGATAATACAAAAACTTCAAAATGGACTCACCCAAGATTTGTACACATAAGCTAGAAAAGCGTATATCTTAACACCTCCCCTTGGAAGTTCTTTTACTGAAAAATCCTTTAGACCCTTCCTTCCACCTCCTTGCATCGCTACAATTTCGTGTCATTCGAGGAGTCTCATGGGCCCCGCACAATAACGACCCGACATAAGAACCATATCATCCAGCTCAATGTTTGAGAAATGCATCGTCACTTTCCAAGCAAATTGTCAGAAACAAAACTTTACATTTACTAGTCAGTGTCAGTGGCGGCTCCTCAGAGGAGGCAACGGAGGCTGAGCCTCCTCAGAGATTTTCCTTAAACTGATATTATCTATACTTTCTCAATTCGATTTTATTTCCTAATTTTAGGTAAATATATTTTTGAATTGGCAACAGTGCTTGCCCACGCATCACACGTTGAAGTCTGCAAATCACGCGTGAAATATTCAACTCGGCAACATCTATAGGAGGCTAGACTCCTTCACAATTCACAACCCACGCGCGCAATGCAAATGCCCGAATACGCCCGAATAGCACACGTTTGTCGTGTCGCGTAGCGAATTGCGGACAATCTAGCGCGAGTGCATTGTTTATGTTTATGTTAGGTTAATGGTTAGGAGCTCTATAAATTTCTGAAAAATGAGTGCTTTAAACGATTGCGATTTAGTGGAATACTTTTTGGTGAACCCATTCAGTGCTTTGTCTTATGAAGATAAATTGATTGTGAAAAACAAACGTCCGACACCGGAATTAAAAAATCTGATTGTAACAGGTAACAAACAAAATCATTCGTTCAATTCTGATAATTATAAAAAATATATCTGGTTGACGGGATCTGAGGTAAGGAATAAGCTATTTTGTTGGTACTGCGTATTATTTTTAACCGATATAAATCATGTTGGAGGCGATTAGGATATGATTTGAAAAATTTGCCTTGCGGATTGGATAGACACTGCAAATCACAGGAACACATCTCTTCAAGTATTAAGTTCAGGTTAACTGGTAAACAGAATGTCATTAAAGCTATTGATTTGGGTGAGTAGAGAGTTGTTTTTCACAATAAATCTCATATCATTCAGCCTCCTCTGTCATGAAAGTCACGAGCCGCCACTGGTCAGTGTTGTTCCTGGGTCTGATTTTTTCGTAATAGATTTCCTTGGAAAAAGGTATCAGATTTGTATCAAAAGGTAATAGACTCGAAAAATCTGACATTTGACATTCGGAATGTCATTCTTGTCAAACCCTATCGCACTAATCATAGTTTTGACATAAATATAGAACATAGAACGAAACATAATTATCCGCTGAGCACAGAAATAGATTTTTTAGTATTGGAACATATTTTGGTGCTAATAGCAAATAGTAATAGATTCATGACAAATCGTAATATCGTAACAATCTTCGTGAAATAGTAATAGAACGCGAACAATCCTAGTTAGTACTGTCAAAGTCACAGCAAAGAGGAAATCTATGGTCACAGATAGTCAGATACTGCTGTTTTGAGAAATGATATTGACAGATCATATGATAATAGTTTTGTTTGTGTCGGCTGGTTTGTAAAATAATTGTAAACGTAAAATAAAAAATAAAATAATTGGATGGAATGGACTCGATATTAGTATTTGTTTGCTCTCGGGAGTTTTGCTGTTCGAGCAGGTATGAGAAAATCTACTAGGTGAGTCGATTTTCAACTTTGTGTATGTTGTGTACCTATTTATTGTCTGCTAATTTTGTATCTACCCGCTGGGGCCTTATTTTCGAATTGAAGGAAGGGGGACGTTCTATCATTCCCCTCATGTTTCTCTCCGTCTCTCGTGATCCATGGAGATAATCACCCCACAGTTCTCTCAGTAAACTTTAAAAAATAAGGCTCCTGTACATATTACATTCACCTCTATAGGTCGCGTGCAAGAACTGTCAGATGACCGACCCTGGAGGCAAAACATATTTGTTTACAAGTGATCGAAATAGTTTTCCACAACTATTTTGGCATATGAATCGTATTTTTCCGCTATTCATCAATTCGCTAATGTCATCACATTGTGCTGTTGTAAAATGCACAAAAACTGCAGCGGAAGATGAAGAAATCCGGATGGTACATTATGATTCAAAAGTAAGTACCTACTATAGTCACTCACATAGTTTTCATTTTTGAAATTTGGTTATTTCTATGATTCCTCATCGGAATTCCTTCTGCAATAGGATCAGCTAATAGAAATATACCTGAAATTTCTACACCTTTTTCAATTGTAATTCAGAAAGTATAAGATGTAATTCAGAAAGTATAAGTTGTAATTCAGAATAGTCAATTGTAATTCAGAAAGTATAACTTGAAATTCAGATTAGTAAATTGTTATTCAGAAAGTGTAACTTGTAATTCAGAATAGTGGAATGTAATTCAATAACCGTCAATTGTAATTCAGAAAGCATAACTTGTAATTCAGAAAGTATCACTTATGATTCCATATTATTTATGCATTACAAGTGATGCTTTCTGAATTACAAATAACGCTTTATGAATTACAATTGACTATTCTGAATTACAAGTTACACTTTCTGAATTACATTTCACTAATCTGAATTACATGTTATGCATTCTGAATTACAATTAACTATTCTGAATTACAAGTTACACTTTCTGACTTACATTTTACTAATCTGAATTACAAGTTATACTTTCTGAATTACAATTGAAAAAGGTGTAGAATAATGCAAGAAGATTGGATTCATGCAATCAATCGGTAGGACTGGTCTGACATGCTGACGATCGTGTGTGTTGTAGACATTTTCAATCTATTAGCAGCATTAGCTTGTATTGCAGAAGTGGCAGAAGGCAGAAGAAATTTTAATAAGGAATGACAACATTTCATAATGCTAACTATGTGAGATTACTATTTACCTGAAAAATCATATTCCCTAGTCTCTTGCTGCATTTTTTGTGCATTGTACAACAGCACAATGCGAAGGCATGCTTGAATTAATGAATAACGCAAGAAACACGATTCGTATATCAAAATATTGTGAAAAACTATTTCAACCTTTTGATTCCTCTGTAAACAAATGAAAAAGTGAGGTTGTGTTTCAATAATTCACAGAAGAATGAGGTTGTGTTTCAATATTTTGCCTCCAGGGTCGGTCTTCGTGCACGCGACCTATTAGTTTCCATAACCTATTTCAATTCATGTTCATTCTGTGACAAATTTTTATCAGGATATTCGTCTCTGAAACAATCTGGCATCACTGTCTTGTTTTGACTTTAGTGAATGACGAATTGTGGATTCCCTAGGATTCCGCAGATTTCACTTGCTTCCCGGTGGCGTACTCGAATTTCGAAGCATTTTATGTTCAATTTTCAAAATGAAATTTCTCGTTAATGTGAAGACTTAGGAAAAATCAAATATTTTAGTAATTTTTGTTAGACTCTCTCATATATATGTCTTGAATATATGCACTCATTTTAAAATCAGCCTATATATCACTGTACTGTATCGGTATTGAATATCAAAATCTATCTGTTTATTTTTTGATCTCAATAAACTGTTATTATTTATATTATTATTTGAATTCATTTGATTCCAGTCACGACCCTGCGGAATCCGACGCCACGCAGAGTCGTGCTGGATAAAATCCTACTACTACTCGACTACTCCCCACAGCCTGTGAGGTGAATAATCACTGGGGCCAAGTACCGTGTGCCCTGAGTAAACGCAATGATCCAAGTATGACGGCTTTCTGCATTCCACCAGCCAGGATGTGTGCCTTATCGCTGCACCACAGAATACTCAACAATATTCTGTGGCTGCACGCTATGATTTTCTGAATTTCCGAGAGCAGCGTGTGTCGTGTGCCTCCTAGGGAACCGATTGTCAGGATGAACAATTTCACATTATTATTATTATCAATATTATATATATATATATTATTAATATTCACACACATATCACATAGAATATCATATGAAATTCAAATGACGCTTCCTGAAATTCAAATACTAATTCTGAAATTGAATTAACGATCAACGATAATACATCTGGAGAAGGTGTAGACATATTTCCATATTAACAACACTGCATGACGACGTCACTCTCAACTTGAGGTGAAAATATTGATGAAATAAACCTCTGGTATATACGCACTTCAACTCTTTCCTGTCTTTCAATTCGTAGAGTTGCGCCTACTTTGATTAACATAATATGGCATGGGTGAATCTCACTAAGTTTGGTCTGATGCCGTACCAAAATCAGAGGCATCAATGTGACAATTAGGCATCTGCGGCTGACGTCACAACCTCCAAGGTCATTTCCTTGGAGGGTAAGAATTTCATGGCCGTATATGCTATTTTATTGCTATTAGTATGTGTTTTGATTTGTCTTTCAACTTTTAATCCAGTTTTGATGAAATTTTTCTCCAAAAATCGTGAATGGTGGTTTAATGGACTCAGAGATAATGTAGAATTTCATAGGATACCCTCAGTGGTTGACAATCAGAAGGAAGAAAACAGTTTAGCCAAGAAAAGAAGAACTGCCTGGATCAATTCTTTGAAGAGCAGATGTGTCAGGCACTATAGTCTGAAGAATGAATTAATATGTTCAAATTACTTTATTTCAGGTAATTCAAAATGATCAGTAGGTCAATTGGATCGAAGCTTATCCAGAATATTCATGATATTTTAGAAAAACCAGCTGAACTGTTCGAGAAGAACCACCCAGATTGGGTGCCTTCTATTAAAAATGGGTTATCAAGCAATCAAGTCAAGAAAGCACATTCGAGAAATATGAGAGAACTGTGAAAAAAGCAAAAAAGAATTGTGTTCATCACTACAGGCTCGTTTGCCTCTTCGATAGTGTTTCCTGCTCTAATTATGTTCTACCATAGATCTGTTTTATTATTTATCAATATCATCAATACCAAATTATTCTTGTTCAATGCAGTATTCCATTTGTAGTACGTAGGTACAGAAGGTATGGAATCTCATCTTCAACTTGTTGGTCATAATTGAGGATATGAAAATGTGAAAGTTTTGGATAATGTCATCTTCCTCAATGAAGAACTTGAAAAATTGAGAAAGGAAGTACAAAGTTCATATAAGGAGAAACATGGCACCTTCATGAAAGCTCAATAATATTGAAGATAATGATTCAGGCACAAACTAAACTTTTTTGATCTTATTGAAAGGTACCTACCTATTATTAATGTTATAAATGTTTCTCAAAAATACTATGTAGGTAGGTACTATAGGTAAAATAGATAGCACAGGTATGAAAATGTTTGTAAAAATATATTTATTGAAGGAAACTTTCTAATATGAGTAAATATATATTATCTCCAGTTGAAGTCGAGTCAATGAGAATAAAGTAATATCAGTATTGTCAAATAGGAAATTTTTCAACTGGGCATGTATAGGTACTATAGGTGGGTACTTAGATGATATCTATTCTGCATGATCTACATAAATGATGGTGATTTCTTCTACTGATTCATCTACATCTTTGACCTGTTGTATTTGCCAACCATCTTCATCAGTTCTACTCCTAGAAGATGAAGAATGTCTTACTTACTTCAGTTATTCTTCCTTTTCAAATGTGAAGTATTTGCCCTTTATTGGAATCAATACAAAGAAAGGTTCTTGCTTCCAGGTTCTTTGCTAGCCAAAGTTCTCCGTCGAAAGCAATTCTCTCAACGAGAACTTCTTTTGGGCGCCAGATCTACCTATATGTCTAGATTGATATTTCCAAATATCTACGTTCATGGACTTTCTGTAAGGTCTGATAATGGTCAATATTCATAGTTTCTTCTGAATTTCACGAAAAACAGCACTACGAAACTTGGGAAATAATTTCGAAACACATTATTTTCATATAAACCCATGCAATCAATTCTAATGTTAACCCTTTGAGCAGCTACACCACTCCCATTTGGTCACGTGCCGCAGATGCCTAATTGTGACCGAATAGTGACCAATGAAGATAGGGAATACCTTTTGCGATTCAGCCACATCAAGGTTGGTTGAACTGATGTTGATCATAAGTTCTAGGAATCACGACATCTAACATTCAATATGTGAACCCCACTTCATCGTCTGAAATTCAAGTGTTTATATGATGAACCAGTCTGACGAAACAAATGAAGAGTGAGCGCACCAGAGGTTCATTTCATCAATGTAAAAATCGTATACTCACGAGTTATCGAAAAGCTCCTTGTACTTGAAGTCATGCTTATAAGCGAAAGCTCTAGGCAATTCCACAATTGGAAATTTCGCTACCACGTAAGTGCACCTGTCGCTCTCCTTGGTTCCTTTTCTGGTTTTCTCCTTGTAATCCCCATACATGACGTGCCTGATGACCGACTTTTCCCTAATGAACATCATCTGACCACTGGCCACGTACTCGTCCAGGATTGCCATGTCTTCGAGATCGGTGTACAGTCTACCTCTCCCGATTTGATCCACCAGCTTGTTCTCTATGGACATGGTGTCGTGGTTCTCAGAGTACATGAAGTCCCTGATGCCGTTGCCCTTATTGGATACCCACTTGTAGCCTTTTGCGCTTATATCTGAAGGACTCTTGATTGGTAAGGTGAATTTGGATAAAGTGAGGAAAGCCGTCAAGTTTGCTGTGTAGAAGGCGGTGATGATGAGAATGAACAGCCACCATGTCGAGAATAATATTCGTGATGAGTCTGGAAACATGAGAAATACGATGCAAGAAAATTGAAGTAGTAATTATGATTATAAAATATTTTTTCAATGGACATGATGTCGTGATTCTCAGAGTACATGAAGTCCCTGATGCCGTTGCCTTTATTGGACACCCACTTGTAGCCTTTTGCGCTTATATCCGAGGGACTCTTGATTGGTAAGGTAAATTTGGATAGAGTGAGGAATGCTGTCAAGTTTGCTGTGTAGAAGGCGTTGATGATGAGAATGAACAGCCACCATGTCGAGAATAATATTCGTGATGAGTCTGAAAACATGAGGAATACGATGCAAGAAAATTGGAGTAGTAATCATGATTATAAAATATTTTTTCAATGGACATGGTGTCGTGGTTCTCAGAGTACATGAAGTCCCCGATGCCGTTGCCCTTTTTGGACACCCACTTGTAGCCTTTTAAGCTTATATCCGAGGGCCTCATGATTGGTAAGGTGAATTTGGATAGAGTGAGGAAAGCTGTCAAGTTTGCTGTGTAGAAGGCGGTGATGATGAGAATGAACAGCCACCATGTCGGGAATAATATTCATGATGAGTCTGGAAACATGAGGAATAAGGAACAAGGACATTGAAGTAGAACATTCCGGAACTTCAATTAGAATTTCATTCCTTCCGGATATCCGTCCAAGAAGGTGAATGTCGGAGTAGAAAATTTTTTTCGAACACAAATATGCACGTTATCTCATAATTGAACTCCCTTCCGGATATATTCACCCTAGTGCAGGGATACAATAAACGCGGCCTGTTGGCCATATGCGGCCCATCCATGTCTATATTTATGCGACCGCCAGTGAATTTCAAAAATTGTTCGAAAAACTACAAAAGGTGAAAATCCATTTGAATCAATATTTCTCAACTTTTCGTTATATTATAACTTTGGTAATTTTCAGGTAGCACATCAAATTGGCTGAATCCTGATTTCATATTGAAGACGAAATATAAGTTATCCCTTATATATCTAGTCCTCCGAAAACCAATCAAGCTATATATGTATATATACGAATGATAATATAGGTGAACCTATATTGAAACGGTCACTTTTATGACGTTGCAGTGACGTATCTATGACTATAACCATCACGTCGGTGTGACGTACCAATTTGGTGAGCTTTGTCATTCAGAAAATTCATCAATAATATGAGCGTTTTTCCCTTGAAGAGAAAAAACGCTTATTTTGAGTCTTGCTGAAGCTTGACACATATGAGATTACCTTTCATTCTTCTTACGTTCAGAGTGCCCCGTTTTCCCCCAAATCCCCTTTTCTTCCTTCTACCCTGTTGTTGTTTAGCCTCGTCACGGGGCAACGCTTAGCTGTATCTGTGCCGACCAGTGCGAAGCTTTATTCAGTACCTGTATTATTTGCCGACAAGGCCTAAAAAGTATGGGTCAAGCTTCAGCAAGACTCAAAATAAGCGTTTTTTTCTCTTCATATTTTATGTCTGTGCTTCCGCTTGACCCATATGAGATGTGTTTGTTTTCTGTCGGCACATCAAGCGTACTGTGAACAATTAAAAGCACTAGATAGGAACGTTGATGATTTTACTCAATCAAATGGTAACATATTTATAACACCACTAGGCTTATTAACACAAAATACTCAATAGCTATATCATATTTTCAATTAGCCTTTTTCAGGAACTAGAATAAGGTATATCTGATGATATGCCCCTTAAACAGGCACAAACCGATTCAATGGGTGATCGAATAGACGTGAACCCGAAACAGGAACTTTTGGTTCTTGAATATTTTTAAAATAGAACTTCAAAAAATTTTGTTCATTTCTCCAATTACCACAGGCCAGAGCTTCATCGATCGGAGTGTTGAAAGCCAACCGCAGATCGAAAACTTCCAGGTGAAGCCTTTATTCCCACCTCTTTAAAGACTGTACGAATCCACCCTGCAAAAACGGTTCTTGATGCCGCACAAACTTTACCTCTTGTAGTGATGAACAAAGAAGATAGCTCCTGAGACTGTCTTTTCGATTGTGAGAGATCTATCAACTTCTTTGTCCAGAAGCTTATGTCAAGATTCAAATCCTTATTGTTTAAAATTTTCCATCCAGATTGCCTACTGGACGCCTTATCTGTTTTAGAGCCGAAAACAGGCCAAAAAATTATATGATCAGAAAAAACCTGGTAGTTTCCTCCATCAATATTCAAGAGGGTTAAATCGTGAATTCTCCTACCAGAAATTGATAGAAGAAGGATTGCCAAGTGTCTTGAAATCTGAAAAAAGCTATCAGATTTTGGCGGATGTGATCTTATCCAATCTATGATGATATCAACATCCCAAATATTAGTATTACACCTGACAGGAGTTTTTAAGCTGATAGCTTTTGGTATCTGTTTTACAGCAGGGTGTGAAGACAAAAATACTCCTCTTTCTGGATTAGCAAAAGTGCATACTACTGATTTGTTTACCAAAATGCTTCTGAAAGCCAATTTTTTAGAGTTGTACAGAAAACTCAGATACAAGACTAAATCTTGAGGAGACGGATTATTGATAGAAATATTTCTAGAATTTGCCCAAGTACACCAATTTTTCCAAGGACGATTGTAGGTTTTCAAAGTCGATACTCTCCATGAAGATTGTAACAATTCTTTATCTGCCTGATTCCAGCCAAGCACTATGTTGCTCCACCCCGAACTTTCCAGGCCTCCAAACATAAAAGTTGAGCCTTCGGAAGGGGTTTTCCCGTTTGTAAGTTGACCAGATTGCAATGAAGATTGGGTATCTTCATTGGGGGAAGTAATGCTCGGGTTTGAAGGTCCGATCTCCAAAATACCTTCTCCCACTTTGGAGCGATCACTATATAAACATCTTTTGCTCGATTCAAATGTTGAAGCACCCGTGGAATCAATATGGGAGGGGAAAATACCCAAGCCAGACGATAATTCCAATCTTGACTAAAAGCGTTCACAAATACCGCATGTGCATCGTGAATCGATTGTGTCACATATTCTGCGACAACTGCTGACTGATTGGTTGCAAACAAGTCTATCTAAGGATGACCCCAAGCCCGAAAAATCTCTTTCGTGACCGCTTGTGTTAGATGCCAATCCGGCATTTGCATTTGTCTCGACAGGCAATCCGGGATCGAGCCCGGAATGAACTGTGCTGTCAGATGAATATTGTGCTGGTTTGTTAAATTCAGTAGTGACTTCACTTGAATTAACAGATTCAATGATTTTGTTTCCCCTTTTCTTCTTATGTATGAAATTACCGTCCTGTTGTCCGACAATAGAAGAATTGTCTCGTTTTTTAAGAGCCAAATATTTCTCTTTATAGTTTCGAAAACCGCAAATAATTCTTTTTGGTTTATATGCCAGCTTTTTTGACAATTCGTCCATTCTCCCGATAACAGCACGTCCCCTAACTGTGCTCCCCATCCTGAATCTGAGGCATCCGTTGCTAGATGAAAATCTATGTTTTTGTGGAAAATTGGCGAGCTCATGTGCAGAGATCGAAGCCACCAACGTATGTCTACCAGAGAAGCAGGATCTATGTGATAGAGTCGATCTGGGTTCCTTTCCGGAAGACGAGAACAAAGCCTTTGCATCTGTCTGGAATACAATCGACCTAGGGGAATAACGAAAGCGGCGAAATTCAGACTGCCCAAAATCGACTCGGCTTCCCTCCAAGACCAGATTTCTCTCTTCAAGAGAATTCTTAATTTTCTTGATAGAACAGTTTGTTTTGAGGGAGAAATCATTTTTATATTTTTTGAGGGGTTCCATATTATTCCTAAATATTCTAACTCTTTCACTGGATGAACTATTGATTTTTTGAGATTTATTGTCCAACCCAGGAAGGTGAGAACTTCTATTGTTTTCAGAACATGTGCTTCCAGAATATTGAAATCCTGATTTGCAATCAGAAAATCGTCTAGGTAAACAATTACCCTTAACCCTAGATCTCTGAGATAGCTTGCTACCCAGTTCGTCAATTTTGAAAAAGTTTCCGGTGCTGAAGACAGTCCGAACGGAAGGCATGTCATGCAATAAAGATTTTTCCTGTAATAAAGGGCCAGGAACCTCTGATGAGACTCTTTTATCGGTACGTGGAAATACGCTTGAGACAAATCGAGTTTCACTAAATAATCGTCTCTTTGGAGGAACTCGGGGATTTTGTGTTGACTTATCAAACGGAAGGGACGAGGGGAGAGATATTCGTTGAGTCGCTTCAGGTTGAATATTGGACGATATGAACCGTCTGGTTTCGGACCAAAAATATGCTTGAGAGGAACCCTGTTTTCAGATGAAGTTTTCTGAGAACTCCTGTTTTTAGCATCGACTCTATTTCGGAATCCATCTTTTTGGAGGTTCTTGTTTCGAAACGACTGCAAACATTTTCTAGAAGAGGAATCAGAGGAGGGCGACGAACAAAGGGAATTGAATAGGCGGATATGATTTTTAATATTGTTGGATGAGCACCCAACGACTCCCACCGATCTTTGGAATTTTTAAGATGGCCTGCGTAAAAAGGTTTTTGAATTGGTAGGATATAGTCATTTATGGTTTTTTTCTGTCTCTGTTGAAGGGCAATGACTTTTTGTTTTGAAAGCGAAATCATTCTTTTTCTTGGACCTTTCCCTTCGAATTTGAGCTCAACTTATTATCAGAGTTCTGACGAGTACGACAATTAGACAATCTCTGAATTTTCTTTGGACGAGAATCATTAGAATATTGAAGGTTATTTTGAGGCGACCGTCTTTTCAGAACTTGATTGGGTTTGAAACCATGTTCTTTTCTGAAGTGATCAAATTGTTCTTCATCAAAGAGGTGAGAATTTGATGGAGGGATTTTTTGCAAGAAATGTGTCATTGCAGGGTTAGATCCACTATGATATTTGCGGCGCAAATCTAGAACCTCAGCACGTTTCCCACAAACATACTGTAACAAATCGTCTGATATGACCCTAAAGTCCGACTGTGGTTTCCCAAAAATAGAAACGAGTTCATTTGTGTGCT